GTCCGTCTTCCGTACAGACACGTTCACATCTGCCCTCAGCCCACCTGCTTCCATACCAGAAACGCATGTGTCAGCAGTATTGAGAAGGAGCTGGACTTTGCGCACAAAGGCGGCCGCCGTGCGTGGGTGATGTATATCTGGCTCTGTAATGATCTCGATAAGAGGCACCCCGACTCGATTCAGGTCTAGCCAATGTACGTTTCCAGGCTGGGCCAAGGTCTTCGCAGTGTCTTGTTCGAGCTGCATCTGTTTGATCCTCACAGTAAGACCGTCTCCATCCTCGGCGGCAATGCCATCTCGAGCCAGTAGAGTGATGTGGCCATTCTTAGCAAATGGTTCATAATACTGTGTGATTTGATATCCGGCAGGCTGATCCCACCAAAAGTAATGTTTTCTGTCAAAGTGACTGACGGGGTTGATTTCGCAGTTGAGGGCCAGCGCAGCTCGAATAGCCGGTATCAGTGTCTTTTTCTGAAAGAGGGGCTGGCTGCCTGGCATTGACACGTCGAACAATGCCACATGACTGTTTGGTTCGTCACTGAATGATGTGGTCGCGGATGAGAAGAGTTTGCGACTTGTGTTGAGCTGTGCATGGATTTCAATGCCGATGGTCAGCTCCCACCCGTCCACGGTCTGGGAGTCGCTCTTTGACTTCTTCGTCCCCTGTTTCTTGGCCAATTTCGCCGCTTCCTTCAACTGTTTTCGCAGAGGCACTATTGGTTCTTTCGACTCAGCTAGCGCTATGGAGGGAGTATTATGAAGAGCTCGTAGCCGACTGAAGGATTGAAGAGCCACGTTGTTGCGTCCACGGCCATGGCGACTGGCCAAGCAGCCTCGAAGGGGGAGTAATCCCTCGAGGAGATATCTACCCGCCTCTCCGATGCGGGCTCGACTCATTGCTTCATTCAAAGCTAGATAAATGACGTTCTGTATTCGTGTCGACTGCAGCCGGTTGTCCCGCCGTGCAAAGTCTAAGAAAGCAAAAAGCTCGCTGTTCGGTGATGCTGGGACTGTCACTTGAGTCCTGCCATGAAGCGGTGCATCATTGAGCGGCGACAAGGTCTGAAAAGACTGCACAAATGCGGAGATGCAGGGATGCAGTTGCAAAGACTGCTGTCGCCTTTCGGTTCGATGCAAAGACGAAGCTCGTCGAGTCGCGCACCATGGGAAGTCTGGGTCGGGTCTGGTCTGGTTGGACGGTGATGGAGGAGCGACAAACCCAGGGTTCTTGCAGCCTGCAGCGGTGCAGTGCAGCAGGCAGTGAGTGGTGAGTGTGCAGTTGCGCCGGTCTATGTTGATTGGTCCATCTGTCTTTGCTGCTGCGGTTGTGGTTGCGGCTGCTGCAACTGCTTCTCCTCGGATTGGAAAAGAAACTTGGGAATCATGCCATGTAGCTAGCAATTATTATGGGTCTAGTCCAATCATGGCCTCGCAAGCTGAATCCCAAGTCATCCCAAGTCATCCCAAGTCATCCCAAGTCAAAGCCAGACCTGACCAGAGCAATCCCTTCTCGAATCCTGCTTCCTTCATACTGTCGGTTGGATGTGCTACGCTGGCTACGCTGGCTACGCTGTGGTCGTTTTGCGACGAGATCGAGGCTCACTACCCACCCTGGAGCTTGGACTCCAACACAAAAAAATGATGCGTGAGCAAGCACACACGCGTTCCCAAGCCTGCTCCAACAGCACATCATCATTTGTGAGCACTTGGAAATAAAAAGTGCGCGTCGGGCATCGTTGGGTACGCCGCGAAAGAGGTTGATCACGAGCCTTGGTATGCATCAGAGACAACAGACAGGTTCTGTTGCTGTCGGGCTGTTGGGTTGCCGCATCGTTCATCGAGTCAAGCCCAAGGATGTCACGGCTTGGAGAAGACACTTGGGCTCATGACGGGCGTTAAAAACACCAGTGAACCAAGCGCATCGCTCCATCAATCATATCCGTGCGTGTGAACTCGGGACAAAGAGGTTGCGTCTGCGGCTGCGGCTGCGTCTTCTCCCGCCGCGGCCGCGCACAAAGGCAAGGCATATCAATGCGTCTCCGGTCCGCCAACACGTGTCGTTGCCTCATTATGCGTTACTTTGTGGCCGACATGTGGCCTCCTTCTCTTCCGTTTTGAGGGGCGTTCATGTGAGTGTGTCATGGCATATGTCTAATGAGCATGGTCTAAGCGGTGCGACATCGAATTATCTCGCAGATGTTCTCGTACTGTACACGCAAGCGCCTCTGTTCAGCATGGCAAGTCTCAAAGCGTGTTCGCTGCTGGCACTGTAGCCCAGTCTTCGTTGTTCAAGCGCTCAGCCCGACTACTATATTTCAGGTAGTTGGTGGCATTTGATCCTGTGTCGTCGTTGTCGTCATCGTTGATGCTTCTCCGAGCCTTTCTTCTTCTTCTTCTTCTTCTTTTCTTCTTTTCTTCCTACCCCAGCACAGCCCTTCCAAATTCTCTAGCATATATTGTACAAACCTCAAACGGAGCCCAGCCTAGCCCGCATAAACTCATCGATACAATGAATGCGGAAAGTGATGATGATCAGACCGTCGACGCGTCCATCATCTTTCCCGATTCCGAGCATGGCGAGCACAACGAAGGGGCCTCCCTAATACCAAAAAATGAAGTGGAAGCCCCGTCAAGTCAGGAAGACGACACCAAAGTAGACGGGCCACGAGAGCCTACCAAACATGCCTCGGCCTACAACGCCAGTGTTGAGACGCGACCACCTCATTTAGAACTTCCATCTCGTCGTCCATCACCTCATATACCTGGCAAGAACCACATTACGGCTGCAGTAGGAGATTGGGAAGACGACAACTCCCGCGATCATTCAGAATGCACCTCACCATCGTCCTCATGTCTTACCACACCCCCTTTAGTTGAGACCTCGCTCTATTCAAACGTACAGGAAAATACAGCTCAAACTTTTAAATCGGAGGCATATATGCAAGACCGCAGAGATGAGTCATATGGGCGGCAGATCGAGCCCTCAGACATGCCTATCCAACAGAGTGCCCAGCAGAACACATCGAGACGTCGACCGAGTGTCATGGACTATCTGGTCTCTCATGGACCTGTCAAGTATCCAATGTCATCTTCGCGAGAAAGCAGCTCTACATCTACATCTCGTCCATCATTTTCAGAGGGACAACACGGGCAGAACAGCGATCGTCTGCCACCTCGATGGGGGCAGCCGCGCGTCCTTCCCGGATATCGAGTGGAAGAGAGAAAGAAACAGATGACATGGACTCCTCAACAAGCTTATCTCCGGTCAGTTGACAAAATTATGAATGGTCAAGATGAGCGTGGTTTGGACGGGTCACTTAAGAGGGGCTTCAATCAACCCTGGGACCACAATGGTCTATCTGCACCATCCTCAAACAATACCGTATCAAATAACGATGGCCGATCAGAAATATATGCAAGTCAGGATCATCCTGATCTTGCTAGCAATATTGAAAACATGGCGCCTAGCGGCTATCACATCTTGGCCAGGAAACTGTCTGGCGATGTCTGCGGCCAGACCATCTCACCGATTTATCGTCGATTTGATGCCCTGAATCACCGTCTCTTATTGTATATGCAGGATGAAATTGCCGATTTGGAACGCCAGCTCACCTCCTTGGAGGCCAAGGATACGGTCAAGAGAAGCTACGCAGGTGGCGTCCTGCCCGCGTCTCAGCGTCAGGATCGCCTGATTGATAGCAGCTTGGCACACCAAAAGACGGAGATTCTCGGTCTCATTGGCTACAAACTGAGCCAGTACAGTAAGCAGCGTCTTTATATTCCACCAAGTGATCACAACGCGTCTGAATATCTCAGCTGACAACCCGGTAGATCATGTTCTTGCGTCGTATTGCAAAGTACAAGACATTCCAGCACCAACATGGCGAGACATCCACATGTACAAAAACTACCTCGCCACGAGCAAGCTGATTGTAGATGATGAAACACGGTTTCTTGATGCTTCCAACGACCTCTTTTCACTAAACACTCAAACTCCAGTTATGGATGATTTTAATCCCACTGCCGATGGGCCTACGCCAACGCCAATGTCTGAGACAGTCGAGGAAGAACAGTTTCAAAGCTTCTTCAGAGACAACGGCGGCTCACCATCTGCAAGGCTGGATCAACATGTAACACGCAAGCCGGACGATGCGCTGTTAGTGCGACTTGCTCTTTCTGGTACATGTGTCGTACTTGTGCCTATCATGATCTTTTGCATCACACCTAGCTTCTCAGGACGCATGGCTATCGTTCTACTCGTTGTACTGGGTGTCAGCATCATGGCCGATCAATCCGGCTTACTGCAAGAGGTCCAACGGCACCGACGGGACTGGATATTGTATTTTGTATTATACTGTGGTGCGATGGCTGTGTTGGCTGGCGCGGTGAATTGATCGTTCGTCTTTTGCTAGGACCTGTCTATATTTTTGTCCCTTGTTCTGTCATCCATGCAATTGGAGCTTTGGAGCTGAAAGTTTGTTTGCAACAATGGGAATAAATCCTTTATGTATTCATCGCTTGTAATTAATCAATGTGCGTCGCAACAGTGTTGATGCTATTCACATCAGCCTGTTATCTGATTTAAACACACTATTCTGAACAGTGTATTCGCTTTTCATTTTGAGCAACGGAAAGCTCCTCTGCCCATTAAACCTCTGTTGCACCCGTTCGTCGCGAATATTTTTTTTCCATGAGCGCGAGCGATCCACCCCTTTTCACGCTAGCTCCACAAAATAGCTTCATATGTCAAATATTGACCCTTGGGTTTCACAGCGCTTAGGGCGAATGGTTTAGTGGTATAATACTCCCTTAGCATGATCAACTCATTTGGGAGTGGTCCAGGGTTCGATTCCCTGTTCGTCCAAGATGATGGTATTAAGCCCATTGTTATATCCTGCTTTTTGGCCATTTTAGCCAAATGGCTGGTTTTTTCCTTTTTCCCTGCCTTGAAATTGTAATGATTCATGAGGTCCTTTACGTTCTGAGACATGCATCTGATTGGGCGAATGGTTTAGTGGTATAATACTCCCTTAGCATGGTTCATCCACCTGGGAGTGGTCCAGGGTTCGATTCCCTGTTCGTCCATTGCAATTCTCCGCGGTGCATCCGCAATCATTTTTGCTGTGTCACGCGATTTTTTTTGCGTGGTGCTGTAAATACCCTGCAGCTTCCATGAATTTGGCATTTTTCTTTTTGGCCCGACGGTCTGCCCTAGAGGCCTGTCAGACTTGAGGCGTCGACGAGATAAAACGGGTACGGTGCTTTTCAAGCCGTCTGCCATTGGAATGTTATACAGCCTTTGATGAAATATTATAGTTTTATACTTACGACTGAGCGTACAAGCCTCTATGTTAAAGAACAAGTCTGATGTCGGAAAGAAACAGAATCCCGCCGTGGTTGCTCCACCTGGTCTTTGAATGGAATGGCGGGGCACAGGCTCTTTGGAAATTCTGAGGGAACTAGCAGAGACGTGAGCTGTGTGTGACTCAAGTAACTCCATCCCACCGCCAGAACAAGGGATCATCACCGACAGCTTTTCGCAGCTTGGAACGCACCAGAGTTCACCACAAATAGAAGGAAACGATCTGGTTCCATCATGGCGTCACAGACTAGCAGCGCCGCAGGAGATCTTGCCCATCAGATTCTCCATGCGTTGGACAAGAAATCGCCCCTCCTTTCCTCCGAAGCTTTCACCACGACACCCTCCACCGAGGTGAAGGGCGCTCTCGACCGACTCGCTTCGCGTGACATGGTCAAATACGAGACTATAGATCGCGAGGAAGCTCTTCTGGAACCCGAAGGCGAGCAAATTGCTGCCAATGGCAGCCACGAGGTCCGCGTGTTCGAGGCCCTTCGCGTTGCTGTGGAGGGCTTGACCATTCAAGAGCTTGAGAAGGCTATTGGCGACAAGAATGTTGTCAAGATTGGTCAAGGCAGAGCTTTTAGAGAGAAATGGATTTCGAAAACCCAAGGTAAAGATTTCCCATCCCGTACATTCGTTGTATTTTCATGTCACAATATAGTTGGGGCGAAAATCTGTGACTGACGTGACTCATGACTGTCGCAGATGGTAAATTAAAGGCGGCCGTGAGTAGAATCGGTATATTTGGTGCGAATGGTTGGCGTGATTTGGACAGAATGAGGAATGGCTGACATGGAAGCCTTTTCAATAGAAAGAATCTGTCCAGGACACAACCAAAGAGCAGATGCAGACCATTCAATCGACGCGAACGTATCCAGACGCCAAGATGCTGGCCGATCTGAAAAAGCGCAAGCTCGTCCGAACCCAGAAGATCATCAGCTTCAAGATCGAAAAGGCTGAAAAATTTGCCCTTAAAATCCCCGAGGTCGCCACCGACTTGACCGCCGATATGATTGCTAGCGGCTCATGGAAGACTGCTAATTTCAAGGGATACAACTTCAAGGCTTTGGGTGCAGACCAGCAGTCCGGAGCTCTGCATCCTCTGAGCAAGGTTCGATCTGAGCTGAGGCAGATCTTCTTCGAGATGGGTTTCCAGGAGATGCCTACAGATAAGTAGGTTACGACCGTATATTTCTGGTTTCGGCTAACGTCACATTCGGTTGCTAATGTGTTGTCAGATTCGTTGAATCTGGCTTCTGGAACTTTGATTCGCTCTTCGTTCCCCAACAACATCCGGCTCGTGATATGCAAGATACTGTACGTGTTCTAGTACTGAGACGGAGGAGTGGTCACACGATTATCATTGAGGCGACTAATGGTGTCTGTAGTTCTATGTATCTGATCCGAAGGAGGCAGACCTGCCCAGAGCCGAGGACGCAAATGAGACAGGTGACTACAAGGCTTATTGGGATAACGTGAAGGAGGTTCACCAGGTATGATATGAATCAAAAATATGGATGGCAATACTGCGTCTGGCAGATTTCTAATTCTTGGCTCAGGAAGGCAAATACGGATCGATAGGCTACCGATACCCTTGGTCTGGAGATGAAACTCGAAAGCTGGTACTACGAACGCATACCACAGCCATCAGTGCGAACATGCTGTATAAACTGGCACAGCAAAAGGGTCCTGACGGACGCCCACCCCCAGCTCGCTATTTCTCCATCGATCGTGTGTTCCGCAACGAGACGGTAGACGCCACTCACTTGGCAGAGTTTCACCAGGTTGAGGGTGTCATTGCTGACTATGACCTGACCTTGGGTGGCCTCATGGAGGTAAGATACCAGAGAAAGATACCCTGTTTTAGTCAAGACCATACGACAATTTAAAAGAACGTCACTAATTTTGGTAGTTTATGGATATCTTCTTCGGCAAGATGGGCATCACCGATCTTAAATACAAGTGTGCCTACAATCCTTGTGAGTGGCCTGGATTGCACTGCATTTTTCCCTTTTGTCCGTGATGACATTGACTAAACTCGGCAATAATTAGACACGGAACCTAGCATGGAAATCTTTTCGTATCGTAAGTCTCTTTTTTTCTATCTTGACGAAACTTTTGAAGGGCGACTCTTGAAGGGCGAGCATGGAAGCCAACTGCTAACACCATGATAGACAAGGGCCTTGGAAAGCTTGTTGAGATTGGTAACAGCGGCATGTTCCGACCCGAAATGCTGGAAGCCATGGGTCTCCCGTAAGTGCCGCGAACAAGTCTCGTTTCCTACTGTCCAAGAAAAATCGAGGCTAATGGTCCATATAGTAAGGATATGCGGGTATTTGGCTGGGGTCTGTCCCTCGAACGACCCACCATGATCAAATACGGCATTTCCAACATTCGCGAGTTGTTGGGTCACAAAGTCGATCTGAACTTCATGCGCAACAGCCCCGCAGTGCGTCTGGACAAGGAATGATTAGAGCAACGGCAATAGAGAAAAGGAAGGGAAAGAAAGATGAAAAGATTTACGAACATTCAGCACGAGGCCTGGGCTTTATTTATTCGGCGGGCGCGAGAGTGTAAAGGTTGGTAGCGACCTACGACATGTTGAGAGTGGGTGTTGAATATCATGGCTGATAGAAGCGACATATTGATGATTTGATGCCACTTCTCATTGTCCCCCCCCCTCCTTCGCCCTCATTCCGCGTGACACACTTTGTGCATCCACGCATGGTACAAAGTTTAAGCCTTCAGGAACGCATCTAGATTCCACTCACTAGGCACATGCAAGGAATTGCGTTAGCATCCAACTAAGAATGATGCACAGATAAAAAAATACCATGTGCATGCGCAAAGCCAGAATTCACGTCGTGTTGCCATTCCACGTGCTCATCGTGACTTTGACCCCGTCTCAGAAAGAAGAAATAGTCCAATGTCATTACCCCGCAAGTCATCAAGTCTAAAAAAAAGGACAGCTAACCCCCGTTCAAACAGAGGAAGGCATCTAAGGAATCTATAGGCCACTTTCTGAGTCCTGACCGGGTCTCGATCAGCACGGGAATTTCATTCCACTGCCTCGCACGGCAACGCGGTGTCGGGACCCTCCCCCACGAATCGGAAGACCTGCCCCGCCATCTAACCGCGAATTCCAGATGTCGTTGTCATGACATCATCATCATCATCATCATCATCATACCCTCTTATTTTCTAGTGGCCCGTTCCCTCTCAGCAACGGGGCCTCGGTGCAGAAGTTAAAAAAGCCACGGCGGAATAGGCACTAAACTCTCATATAAAGTAGTCAAGCCTCCATCTCAACTCCTCATTCTCACTGTCTAATCAACTCTTTTTTTACTCACCCACGCCCTCGATATTGTCCCAAGACTATTGAGACTTCATCACATTTCATCCGGGAACATTTGCCAAGTGTGCAAATACATTTCTTATATATATATATATATATATATATTCTTTCCAAACAATCAAGACATAACAAAAAATGTCTTTCCTGACAGAACGTGTTCTTCGAACTGCCCTGCCCTTGAGCAGAGGCATGATCGTCCAGGCACCCCGCGCATTCAGCACGTCGCTCGCCTTGAGAAAGACACCCACGGAGAGTGTGAAGGATGGGCTGAAGACTGTGGATCGGGTTGTCACGGATAGCGTTGTTCTTCCCAGTCTGGATGCCGCTGGTAGGTGCCTACTGTGTTTTGTTTTCCCCTTGCAGCGCTTCGCTTCCAATGGTGTGTTGCTGACCTTTTTTTTCCCTTCTTTCTTTTCCGTGAATCAGTCTCGGCGGGAACCAAAGTTAAAAAGGGGGCCGAGGCCGTCACGAAAGGCAACAAGGGCAAGGTCGAAGAATTAAAAGGTCAGGCGGAGGGCAAGGTCGAGGAAATAAAGGGTCAGGCGGAGGGCAAGGTCGAGGAATTAAAAGGCAAGGCACAGGGCAAAGCGAAGGAGCTCAAGGGCCGGGCCAAGGGCGTTGCTGCTGAGACAAGGGGCAAGGCGAAGGGTGCGGCTGAGGCAACGTAGAAGAACAACGGGCGCTTTGAAGACGTCTCGCTGCGACGAGGGCTATTCTGATGCTGTCGAGACCAATGAGCTGTTTCTCGATGGGAGTTGTTCTTATGGGGACTTGTACAATGAGATGGTGTTTTCTTAATCTATGCATCAGCTGTGTGGTGTTTGGGGTATCTTATGATTATAGTTAATGTTGTTTTGGGCCATTCTCCGCGCACCGTTGGACTGGAATTTTCCTGCGACCCACGATACTCATTGGATGGATGACAGAGCTGAAGCCGGGAGTGGAAACAGTTTGTTGTGTCTTGACCGTTGACGTCACTGTCGTTCTTCGTGCTGCACAACGCATCGAAATCCCGCCGCGCTGAGGAACCCATTTTACGGTGGGCCATACCAGAAAAAGCACACTAACAATGTCTTTTTTTTAGAAAAAAAGAAAAGAAAAGTGAAATGATAAATCATAGAATCGATGCTGAATAATTCATGTGTTTCTAAATGGGGTTAGGATTTCCCTCTTTTCCCGCGATGGATATAGGGTAGGTTGCCAGCATAAAATATGATGACGTCCGTGCTGGTCTATTGTGGGCCTCGTCCACCAGGTTCGAGCCGACTCCCGCCCGAGGCACGCGACGTGAGGGGGAAACCTTGCTCCCGGAAATCATGTCATGCATGCTTCACCCGTCCCTTGACATCAGCCTCGCCGACGCCCTGC